CAGGTCGGAAATTCTTTCAGTTGTTCAAATCCTTTTTCAAATTTGTTCTAGCTATTATGGGCACAATTCTATCGTAATAAACAAAAAAAGTGGTCCATATATGGACCACCGCCCGTCAAAGGGTTAAGTATTTCATCCTGATAACTAGTTCCAAGTTTTCTGAAAAATTGACTTGCAGAACTATAGATTTATTAGTAACACTACGTCTGTATTCTTCAAAATGTAAATTCTCAATATTTTTAATCAAAGAATACAATCGAAAATGGTATGTCACATTATTTTCGTCTCCTAGTCACACCGTATGATTGTGATCTAACTATTAGTACTCGTAAGTAACTTCGGTAGTGGTTTTCTTATAATGCTAGTTTGCCAGATTTTAATCGGAAAAATCAAAATGTCAACAACAAAAACTGAATGTAGGAAACTACTAAAAACAAACGGCAGATCTCTATCTCGTTCCAAATACCGTTAGATATACACTCTATTTAAAATGAATAATGTATTCAGTTTATTTACTACCTGCAGTTGTTGTTGTTACTATTTAGACTTTACTGTGATGGTAGTGTTGCTTGGTGTGCCTAAATAATAAATCAGTAGAAATAGTTAGTTTAGAGAGATTGTTACTTTACTATGAATCATAAAGATATAAATAAATAATGTGAATCAGAGCGATTCACTCGATCACTTGTTTGTAAGTCTTCGAATTTATCGCAGAAAAATGGACTCTCCGACACCGTGCATTTGATCTTGACGAAACTTATCCATAAATGTTCGGCACAATGAGTTACGGGAACGAAAAAATTTTTTTGCCTTCAAGTCTTACGGTTTAGGAATTTTCCAGAGATCTAGGTTCAAAAAGGACCCTGAACGGCGTCCCAAGATTTTTTAATATACTTCAAGCGGGAGAGTTCGGGTTTGTTTTATTTTAGACTAGACACCTAGCTACAACGACTAACCGGCGCCGATTTTTCAGTTAAGCCTTTATTAGAAATCCAAGCGACCAACAACCCCCGAAACCTGAAAAATCCTTCCGGATTTTCTAAAAATCCTCAGTTTGACAAAAAACTAAGGTCTAATTCAAAAATCGATGCCGGTCAGTCGATGTAGTTTCTTTTCCTCTTTAAAACAAAAAAAGAATGAACTCTCTACGACAGACCGCTATTAAAAATCTTGGGACGCACTTCAGGTGTAACTCTTATATAGTGAAAACGCTGTATGAAATACTCGATTTTAGGACATCTAGAGAAACGCTTGTAACTTTTTGACGCAAGGTCATAGAGAGTTGTGCGCAGCTTTATTTTGATCAGAAAGGTTTGCTCTATAAAGCTATGTTTTGAGAAAAATTTTAACTGCATTAGTATCCAGGAAAAAACCATTATTTGAAGACCCGTTTTTTCGAGGCTCTTAGAAAACTAGCTCAAAATCCCCGAAAACCACTTTTGTAACCAAAAGCAACCTGAAAATTAAACTAATTCTAAGTCATCAGAAAATGATCGACGAGCATTTCAGATAATCAAGAATGAGCAAAATTTCCGCACTTCTACCATGTCTTTTCTTCTTTGATCAGTGGGATAAATGAAGCTAAAGCAAAGAAACAGCCGACTTTGTCGTCACTTGAGGTGTAAAAATACTCTCCGATAATTTTCCCATGACTTACAGCTGTTGTTGTTTTTTACTATCATAAGAAATGGAGTTACAAATACCTCAGTATCAAAGCTGACTGAGTCATTTATTCTGTTTTTTTTACAATCCTGCGGATTGAGCATAACTAGACAAACAATAAAAACTGTGACTAAAAACCATGGCTTAGAGCTATTCAATCTGTAAAAAATAAAAGCTTTTTACATCGGTTTCTTGGTTTATTCGGCGTTTTTGGTTTCAGTTATTCGGTGTAAAAATAAAACCGGTGTATACCTGGTGCTAGATATCAAATATAGTTTCAACCTGAAAGTGAAGGTTTAACTTTAATCGTGAGGATTGGTTCTCTTTCTCATGACAGTTTAATTCTCTTCCGCGGCTGTTTCTCGTGGACAGTAGCGCCTAGGTGTGCATCGGTTCGGGTAAACAATAACCGAAGTTTACCGAACATCGATTATAACCGAAGAAATTTTATAATGCGCTTAGTTTTGATTGGGCATGCATCGGTTTCGGTTATTAACCGAAAATCGACCATCGGTTATAACCGAAACCGATGCATGTCTAGTAGCGCCAGTGTCTGAATATATCTTAATTTGATGAACAACAACAACCGCCACAATGCGAAGAGTATTCTGTCTCAGTTTGCAAAACTTCAGTTATAGTGACTTACGTTTTACACATGTTGTCCACCCATTATTTTCTGTAGCATTTCTACTGCGGCCGTACAACTGAACAGATGGCGAACCATTTCTATCGTAAGTATGATGCCAATCTTGATTTGTTGTATATTCATAACCAGCACAGTTTATATCATTATCACAGTACTGAATTGCGGTGGTCAACGTTGATATACAATACGCTTTGCTACTATCAAGTGTTATTGACGGACATGTGTAATTTTGGTCATTATAAATTGCATTGTCCTGATTTAATTGATAATTTTTATTTGCATTACATGTTAACAAGCCAGAAACTGTAAGAAAGAAAAAAAACATTTTATATTTGATACGGATGAAAATACCAAAGTCTCATTTTTTTGCAGCCCAAGTCCCATTCTGCAGGTTGCTGTCGCTACCTTAAATTTCCCAAAATATGGTCTTGAAGTATTGCAAAAGCGGCAAGTTTAGTATTCTATCCCAGTTTACAGAACTTCAGTTATAGTGACTATTCTCCAGTATTCATTCTGTGTGGTTGAACGCTTTTTCTTTCGTACTTTTATTGAAGAAACCCATTTTCATTTTTTACACATATAGTACGTACGTATACATGCATAGGCATATATGCTCGATTAGTTTATAAACTAATCGGAACACTAGCACTTGCGGCGATTACCAGATTTCTTCGAGTAGCAACTGTCAATTTATCGCCCGATTTAACTATTGCTAGTTACACATGGAAGCACATCTAGTTAAATGTCCCTTGTCCAACCGGTAATGTAGATGGCAACTAGTCGTGTATCGCCCGATTATAAAATTTTGTACGCATATCTTCTGCTAATTTTTAGTAATCATGTAAAATCTTTATTTAATGAAAAACACTAAAAGTATGATATCGTCTGAGAGGTTACAAAAACTGCTTGTAACTACTCTGGAATAAAACGTCGGACAACTGTATATTTTTTCGTATTCAGCTACTAACTTCGCTTCGATAAGCAGATAGACGCGAAAGCGAACACACACATACTTGTCGTTGAAGCCAATGCTGTTGTCATTATTTCAGCAGATTTTGTAGTTNAAACGAAGAAGTCCATAGAGTGTAAGACCTGCACTATTTCAGCAGAGAAAACATGTGAGTATGGAAAAGTCGTATAGCTCACGAACACAAGCAACTATAGACCTGTGGTTTGCAGTAATGTAGATAGCAACTAGTCGTGTATCGCCCGATTATAAAATTTTGTACGCATATCTTCTGCTAATTTTTAGTAATCATGTAAAATCTTTATTTAATGAAAAACACTAAAAGTATGATACCGTCTGAGAGGTTACAAAAACTGCTTGTAACTACTCTGGAATAAAACGTCGGACAACTGTATATTTTTTCGTATTCAGCTACTAACTTCGCTTCGATAAGCAGATAGACGCGAAAGCGAACACGCACATACTTGTCGTTGGAGCCAATGCTGTTGTCATTATTTCAGCAGATTTTGTAGTTACAGCTAAACGAAGAAGTCCATAGAGTGTAAGACCTGCACTATTTCAGCAGAGAAAACATGTGAGTATGGAAAAGTCGTATAGCTCACGAACACAAGCAACTATAGACCTGTGGTTTGAAGCAGCCCATTTGGGGCTATTTTAACGTAAAACTAGGAAATTCTTAATTCAATCAAAATGGATTCAAGCCACCTCGGAAAATCAAAGTGTGCTCTGCTGTATCTACACTATATCATGAAGTTCAATCTTTTCAAAATCCAGAGTGTTTTATGCTGATTTGTAAAAGTTCTGCTGCACCATTTTTTACAGCACATTTTGGACTATCTATTGACATAAAAAATGGGTCTGTTTCATGTATGCCTATGGAGCTATCACTTAATTTTCAAGAGGCCTTTTGAATAGTCGGTTTATGAAAACTATTTTTGAAATATTTTCTCTCACAACAAGATACAGCTGGATCTGGGATACAAACTGATGAAAACCGCAGGTCTATAGCCGCTTTCGTCCATGAGTTATTAAAAAATGGTCAGATGCCTTCGTTTTTTGGATAGACAGTAGTAGTTGTGGTTATGGTGGTGATGCTGGAACCTCGCATGATTCCTACGAAGAGAAATGTTTTTTATAAACAGAGCTCTGTGACAGCTACACGTTGAAAACAGACCTTTTTTTGTTGTAACTAATGCCCCTACAATAATAAGAACCACAATTGTCCGGCTAATAAGAATATAGCGGCATACATGTCTAGGAAGCAACATCGGTTAGCAGTTTAAGTTTTTTATAGCTACTTATTACAAATGATCAAAAAACGAAAAAAAAAATTATGTTTCTTCGCTTTTCTTTGACGTATGTACCTGTGATAACAACATTATAATGCATCATATTTAGTATGCATGAATGTTTTTCTACCTGTCATAATTGAGGTCGCGTTCGTTTATGTACACCATCACGTCATTGAAATATTTCTTTGATTAGAAAAGTCACCGGCATGTGCATGTGGCTTTAACAGAGAGACCCTAAACATTTTTTCATGGATTGTGCTCTTCATGATAAGTGTCGTAACTTTATGTTTGAGCAACTGCGTATTGTCCTTAAAAATAATCACATTACGTTGGCGCACATACTTTTGAAACATGAATCTATCCGAGCACTGCTTAAGCAGGACCTGATACAGCCATCAGTCATATTCTACTAAACCTTCATCAGCAGGATGTCACATGGATAGAATGGAGCTCATAAATCGATGCCAAATTCTCTCTCTCTCTTCACCCACACTAGTATAATCTCTCTTCTCTATATACTCATTTTATTCTAGCGTGTTCATGTAGAATCTGGCATACAATGGGGTATCCCGAATTGCCGTATAAGTGTTTTCTCTGGTTGTTGTATTTATTCTTTTTACCATTATTTCCCGAATAAAAGATGTTTAAAAAAATAAATAAATATTTCTTCATTGTGTTTCGTGTTATGAGTGTAATGGAGATTGCAGCTGCGTAGTATTTCGTCTATATTCTTTTATTTTTACGATATATAAAAAATGTTCAATATGATTCTTCTGGAGAATAAGAAGGCCGATTCTCCTTAAAACAGCTTCGAGCCGTACACGATCAAAAATAAAAGAATTATTTGAAAAATACTGAGTGGATCATTTATTCTGCCACACCCGTTATAATACTTTCAAAATATTTAACATCAAGACAGTAATATGGCAATGGACGTAGTCTGTTCAATTGGTTGGTTGTTGTTCTTGTATTACTGTAACAGCTATTATTGAATAACTAGATGCAAAGAGAGTACACTTTTGGGAAATGTTTAGTAATTATGTCTAAAGATAATTTATCAAACAAGCTCAAATGTTTTATTATGAAAGCCACCATCATTATTATCCGTTATTTATTGTCAATGCAAATGCGCAAATATTATTGCATGATTTGGTATGAATATAGCATCGCAATATATATCTCAGTTGTGATTCATCTGTTGAAATGTAGATAAGAAATAATGTTTATCGTTAATATAGTCAGTAATTAACAGAAGATCTAATTGAGCTCAAGTTATTTATTTTGATAATGTCTTTCTTAAATTGATACGGTTAATATCTCGCCTATAAAGTTGTTGTTATAACCAAAAAAGGAAGTTAAAAAATGGACCGTTAACACTTTCGCTTTACGCTTTAGACTGATGAAGTTATAGCAGGAGGAAGAAGGGAGTATATTAAATAGCCGATCACTAATTAGTAACTCGACGAAAACATATTTCAGTTATTGGACCGATAAGTCGTTGGCGACTGAGGACGAATTTGGACTAAAAAGCTCACTAATAGGCGTACACAACTCACTCAAACTTGTGTATAATACATTAGTTCCCTGAACTTTGAGATTCTACATTTATAATGCTTTTATAATGCCTCGATGAACACGCTAATCAGCATAGAACTAGAAATAAGTATGACGCATGAGGGCCTAACATAGCTGTTTACGTGTTTGCACCATGATATCATATGTCCACTCTGAGCCATGCATCAGTTGCAGTTGGAAAATGCGATCATCTTAGCCACCGATGTTCATTTATGCATTTTTTATTATTTTAAAATAATTAGTCATTAGATAATAAGGATTAAATAATTTTTTTAATAATATTAGGATTGGAAATAATTAGGCATTGGAATGACAAACGTTACAGATTTCCTAGGAATGGAGCTTAATCAGTGATGAAAAATGGGAGGAGTTTCATATTTCACCCGACATATATCTAACCTGATGGATTGTTCTTTCGAGAACGTACCACATTTACATCGACTTTGTCCGAGTTGTCTAGACCTGTACAAATCCTATTTCCCAGCAGAACCGTCCTTTCGTGGGCATTTTCACCATTTTTTAGTGAAACACTTCCATGAGCTGGTACCATCAGATTAGCTTCTATACGTGCAGAGCTACAAAATCACTAGCGGACAAAAGGTCCGAAATGTTAACCACGTCCTCAGAAAAATATTTAAAAATCTCGTTTTTTCCGAAAAATAGGCCGTTTTTGTAAACCACTTTTCCCCCATAAAATCGTATCAACAAAAGACAATAAGATATGCATTCGACGCGCCTTTTCACGTTCTGTCCGATGAAGTGGTTGGCACCGAGCATAGAAAACGTTTAATGATAGAAAAAACAGTTTTTAAAGCCGATTTTCCTCGTCTTCAAAGTTTGAGTACGTGTTGCACCATTCTACGGGGTTACAGGACGTCGAGTATATTTCGCATGTACTCGATGCGGGCTATTAAAAAAACAGATGTTCATCTTTGGCCAAGTACTGTCAGGGAAAAGTATTTTTCTAAGGAAAATATCACAGGATTTTTGTCCATTTCGAAAGTACTTAGTCAAAGACAATTCGGACAAAGTCGATGTAAACTCTGGTACGCTTTCAAAAGAATCACCCTGATACGCCCTTTTAAGGTAATTCTCTATTGTTTAAAGAAAGGCAAGCAAACTAAAAATATGTTAAAAATGAAAGTGACATCTCGATGCTTTAATTATTACACATGACCAGAGCAGGTACTTGACAAGGAAAAATGAGGGGCCATTATCTTTAAAGATAGGGCAAACGCCCGTGTAGCTGTAATACACGACCTTCTGTATTTCAAAATCTTTTCAGCTCGTTGCGTAGAGCGTAAAGAATTACTCAGAGTTGCGGAACCTCTCATTTTGTAGAAAAATGTTTGCTCTTGAAAAATTAACTGTGAAAAAAATTTGAAGTTAATAATGTAAACGAAAACTTCCACTGTTTTGTAAATTGTGCGGATTTTATAGAAATTAAATTAGCGCTGATGATTTCATACATATAAAATGCTTAACTAATAGGTATATGAACCCTTTCAAAATCAAAAGTGAGAAATAATTTATATACTTCATAAAATCAATTCGATTTTCTTGTTGTCTATTTTTGGTTCCGCGTCTCTTTTCTTGCATTTTATTGACCTCCGCAGAAATATTTCATTCAAAGGTTAGTCGGACTAAACAAAAGTGAAGAAAAGATTGAAGAAAACTCGAAGACGGGAGTGAGAAAGTAACCAACAGTTCTGCTTCACTTAATTTTCATATAAACTAAAGATTAAGAGTAAAAAATAAAAACAGCGTTTTGCCCAGGCATCCCAGATCCCAAACTATTCCTATGGAGATAAACTATTTCAGTTTTCGTGTGTTGAAGCCCTACACCAGTTGGTATCAGGTGTTACTCGTCCTGAATCGAATACCTGTTTGGACGTGTTGTTGACGAGTAAGATCTCAGCCGTTACTAATGTTAGTATACTTCCTAAACTTTCTACCAAATGTGACCACTTTATGTTACTTTTCTCGCTTGGTAGTAAAAGCAATACTTCATCCAAATATCAAAGGAGGATGTACGGCTACAAGAATACTAACTGGGACTCATTCCGACGTGCGCTATTCTCCTTTGACTGGGCATCACATATAAATCAATTTTCTGATATTTCAGCAAAAGTGATAGCTTGGAACTCGAAATTTATGGAGATAGCAGATAGAATAATTCCTCATAAACTTGTAACAGTTTCTTCTAAAGATGCGCCATGGTTTAGTAAGGAGCTAAAACAGTTGTTAAAACAGCGTGACAAACTTTTTAAAAAATATTCCCTGCCAATGTATCCGTCGACCCATTTCTATGAGGCGTATCATCAAGCTGCCGTTCAGTTCGAAGAAGCTATAAATCTGCTAAACAGCATTACCTTAATAAATCTGCAACTGATTTGAACTCGTCATCTAAAAAATGGTGGAGTTTCATGAAACATACAATTGGTAAACACCGTTCATCATCTATACCATCTTTACTTGATACAGATACTGACTTATTAGTTAGCGAGCCTCTTGATAAAGCCGAACTACTTAACCATTATTTTGCAAAAGTTTGCACATCTGCGCAGAATAATCCGACGTTCCCTATGTTAGCACCTCCACGTGTTGTTATGTCGCAGTTTCATATTTATGATACTGAAGTCTTTGAATTATTATCAAATTTAGACACAGCAAAATCTTGTTCGCCTGGCA